TAGAATGTGAAAGATGGAGAAATATGCAACTGATCGGATGAGTTTGTTCCATATGATCATTATTGTAAGACTTCTAGAGTATTCTTCCGCCAATTAGATGTTAAAGGAATTGTAGGAATAAAAATAAAATATCTGAATTTCACTGCTAGGCTACTATTGTACTTTGAATTTTCAAGTACTATACAGATTATTTTGTACAAGGTTGGCCTAATCTAATACGATGAATTAGTGATTTGGGGATGAATTTACAAATTAGCCTTGAAGTAAAACGTTACGGAAAACGATAGCTTTCAGAGCATGGATGTACCTTACATCATGTGAATACATCGTTAGTATATATCAAAGCAATTGTACAGTATCGTATTTTACATCATGTTAGTACCTTAATACATTATCTTTATACTTGGTAATTCAGTAAATATGTCAGCTTAACTAACAGTAATATTTCTAGGCTCACTATTTATTTAATTTAATTGAAAGCTCATGAGATTACTATAAAAAAAAGCCTCACCTCGCTACTTTTGTTATGACATTTGTGAGTTCCTAAAAATGATTTCATCTGCCAATAGGTGACACTGAAGTTATTTAGTGGCCAAGGGTCATCGCACTGGTTCACGTCCATTTTTGTGACGTCGACATCAACACCCAGAACTCCGATCAAGCTTGATAATGTTTATCAAGTAAAGATTTGGATGAGAAAACATGAATAGGGAATTATATATTAATAGCTTCGTATTTCCTACATTAGCACATTTATAATACAGCTCAGTCAATAACACCGTTTGACTAGATGGTTAAAGAAAGAAAAGTTTATTTTTCTTTAGTGTTTCTAAATCTCCACTAGAGACAAGAAACTTATATAAGTCACATTTCTTCTAACAAAGCAAGCTAAAGCTCTGAACTTTATGAATTGTTACGACAGCGGAGGTCACGTGACGCTGGTAACACGTCATATTCTCGAAGCTTCGTGAAGCCTCGGGAGGTTACTAGATGTACGGTATTCTTTTATATAAGACGGTCAAGAAGTGACGGCAACAATGT